CTCCTCATCGTTATTTGTAAAGCCAACTCATTAACTAAATTATGAAGTAAATACATTATACATATAAATAAATTGACATACCAACTATGCCCAGTAATTGTTATTTTATTACCTCGTTTACACGTTGTTAAAAAAAGTACTGCATTTAAATTGATCTACGATTACATGTGACCAAATTTGTCCGTGGTAGTTTTGAGTGCATAGTATGTCCATGGGCAATTTAGTAACCATTATTTCGAAACACAATGGGGTAATTATCTAAATTACAGCGAATTTAAAAGGTTTGAAATGTACTGGAATGTTTTTCAATGGTTAACTAAATTATTTTTCGATACTATTTACGAACCGTCCTATAAAAGAACGAATATAGACGCGTTGTAGGGTAAAATTTAAATTGTCTCTTTAGGATTAGAAGAATGTCCATTGTTTAATTGAAATGTAATATTAAATCAAATGGCATTAAGACGTTTACTGATCAATAAACCGCCTCGGAGAATCGTTCTCCAAACTTTCATTTCCTTAGTAGGTTACCATGATTGTTCTTTCTTCTTGTGGAATGCAAATTAGTGAATAATTGATATATATGTGTATATATAGGAAGGTAACTGACCTAGGACTTTTGTGAAAATAAATATAATACTTTTTTTCACAAATTTCACTTAATCAATTCACAATGGGTAACTGCAATCTATCTATCAATCAAATATTAGTTATTTCGTATGATTAGTGTAAAGATCATAAATCTAAATGTAATGTGAACAAAAATTTTTCATAATTAATTGAATAATTTTCAGTGTCTACAATGTATAATGTACATCCAATAAAATTTTTACTTTTTGAAAATGACGTTGGAATAAATCAATTGATTAAAGTTCATACATGTGTTTAATTTTTTATATTACCTACTTCAAATGTACTGAAGTATTACGTTACAAAGTTTTTTTTTTTTTTGAGACATACTGTTAATATGGAAAGGAACATTAATTTGTAGCTATATCAATAAAATAGCTAAACGTTTTACAGTCAAATTAGTAACTAATAAGTCATACAAATTGTTTGTCGATCAGGCATTTCCGACTTATATTAATGGAAATTGACGTATTTGAAATCAACTTATTAGATTATATTATAATTTGAGAATTTTATGCGTCATTTGCGATATCGATTACAAAACATGTAATAGCTACTTTCCCAAAAGATATTAAAAAATTTAATACATAAGTGTAGCAGTTTTGAGGTGGACAGGAATATTAAAGAAAATTACCAAAAAACTAAATTACACAATTTGTTTTCATGCATTCAAACATACATGTTACACTGGATTCACTTTTCCAAAAGAAAAATTATTACAACTGAAAAGATAATTTTATTGGCAAGTTACTATTTTAAGATATATAGTAAATATAACAAAAATTTCTATCTTTATTGAAAATTTTTGTAAAATAGCAAGGACGATTTTAAAATCTTGTAGATGATAAAAGGATAAAAACACAATAACCGGTATGATGGTTATTTTTTTTATCTGATATGAATCTTCTGAAAAAGTTTTAAATTTTACACATTACAAATTGAAACGCCAAGGATTGTTAAAATGTAATTTATTATGAAAATAATTTAGTCTTATTTCAATAGATTAACATACCATATGAATTTTATCCATTATTTCCGTTATTTGTTCTTTGCTGCACATGGTGCTAAGTCAAGTAAGTACTTAATTAATAAACTTTGCCACAAAAAAAGTTCACAAAACAATCGATTACGATTTCGTCAGTCACCGCCGCGAAAATTCGGCACGGGATGCATCGGTCCGTTCACAACATATCCGGGAAACACCGGCGTCGCGGACTCGTCCGGAGCTTTCTTGTACGTTTTGCGCTCTATTCCAACAACAGAAGCAACAACAGCAGCTGATGATACCAGTAATGGAGCGTGTTGTTTGTTGTATAGCGATATAACCGGTGCACTGGTGCATCTGCGTAAAGCGGCACGAGCCGTAGACCGACACCGTCTGTCTATACAAAGTCTCGTTTCAGCAGCAAGTTGGTGGAAATCCACGGTGGAAACGGCAAGCGAATACTTCTACTACTACTACAACTACAAACTCACTCCTTTGGACAGGTGTATCGAGGTGCTCAGCCAAATAGAGTTTTACTCTGACGATGACGGCGAGAGAGAATGGAGACCGCAAGTGTACGGGAACATTTCGTACGAAGCCTGTACTAGTCGACAACAACGACCCACTTCATATGCATTTGTGTGGTAAAAATCGGCGCCTCTTTCACGAGAAAGTGGTATCATTTTTGTGTTCGTTGTTGATGATGATGATGCACATGTACACACAAATACCAAGTGATATTGATGCAAATCACTTTGACGATTGGCACCCTGCGGTCTGTCCATACCCACATCGGTTTACTTTATTACAGATGCAGGCAGTAAAACCGCACAGACAATATAGCTACAAAGAGTCTCCTTCATAAAAATAAAACTATGTAGTACACTGATTTCTAATCATTTAGGATTTGCATGATAAAGTTTGGTCCTTGTCCGCTAAAATTTCTTGGAGGTTATCAGGTACCTAACAAATATTTAGTTTTATCCAACGTTCTCTAGAAATTTTCCGTTTTATCATTATCTACTTCTTAGTAGTAGGTAGGGATATAAAGCAGAGCATAGCGCAGGGTAGTGTCTTCTATGCACGCGATTAATTTAGAAATTCGAAAAAGGTTGTTAAAGGTGTATGATTGTAGCGCGGCGCTGTACGGGTGCGAAACATGGACGATGGGCGCAACAGAAAAGAAAAGGTTAGAAGCATTCGAAATGTGGTTTTACAGGCGAATGATAAGGATACCGTGGATAGAGAAGGTTAGAAATGAAGACGTATTAGAATGAATAGAAGAACAGAGGACTTTATGAAATTCAATACGTAAAAGGCGAGATAGGTGAGTAGGACACCTTCTCAGGCATATTATAGGCAGAAACGGGAGTTAGGAGGGGTAGAAGTAGACCTAGATTAGATTACTGTTCGTAAATAGTTAAGGATGTGGGCTGTTCTAGGGAAATGCGAAAATTAGAGCACGATAGGAAAGAATGGAGGTACGTATCTTAGGACTGACGTCCTTATGATGATGACTTATTATTAAAAAAGTCATGTCTCACCCTCAATGTTATGACCATGCAGAGGTAATATAGTAACTATGGCCTACCAGTAAAACAAAACACTTACATGTAAAAACAGAATAACATAACAAACCTCTAAACTGTTACTTACTTGATAGGTATCAAGTTTAATTTAATCATGAAGAAAGTTTTCGAGCATCTGATTTCTTTATCTTGAATGGTAATTTATTGAACATTTGCGAACCCGAAACATTTGCAGACCTCACTCTAGTTATCATATTTATTTGCAAATACGGTTTAGGTATAACTATTTATGGTGAGACATGCGGCGATTGTAAATTCGGGCGATTTAAGATTTTTGTTAATTACAGTGGTAAAGGCCGGTAACAAAACAAAGGAGAGAGTCCGATTTTATGTAATAACAGCTGTTGTGATCGCTCAACACAATGTCTATTCAAGTAGTGGTACATAGTTGTAGGTAAATGCTAATTGTCAACCCATTACCCCTGTGGTTAATTAATTTCATGTTATTAAATGTTATTTCTATATATTGAATTATACGTACAATAATACATATTACGTAATTCTGTATATAATAAGAAGTAAGTAAATGTCTCGCCAAAGACGTTGCTATTTGAACAATACTTTCCAATAAGAAAACGTAATTAGGGTGAGGTCCGCAAATGTCCTACTTAATGACAGGTTTGCAAATGTCCAGGTCTGCAATTGTCCTAGATTCGTTTCAGTTTGTAGGACATGCTTAAAGGGCCTAAGTTCTTATAAGTTACGAAGACCATAGACATTTGATTTGTAGCGCTATTTCAGCTGCTGTTATATTTTTATGACTTTAAATTTTCCCTTTAATTCATAACGAGAAACCAAATTAAACATACAAGCCTTTTGAATTAATTATTATGCGCAAAGACAACGTAAACATAAATAGCGTAGCTACTTCGAAATGATGAATTTTACAATTTAAATTCTTAATTAAATAAAATAATTTTTATATTTGGGGCGCAATATACTGCTAGTGTTAAACAATTTTTGATAAATATTCAATTAACTCATGACTTCAAGCGGGATTTATATTGTAACTATGTAGTAACATACATAAATGTAAAAGATGAAAACTTTTGGAACTGATTGACTGTAGACTTCCTTGTAACAGCACCTGTCATTAATTTCATGCAACAATAAATTTCCATGCAAGGGTATTGTTACAGTCTTACGTTACAGGTGCTTATTTTGTAAGCACTGTTAAATCCAATTTGTCATAGTAATATACTTTGAGAAGAGTACGGAAACAAATGTTATATTTAGAAAATGTAATCAATATCGTCTTGCCATTTAAATTTTATCTAATTGTAAGGCAGATACTCAATTTCTTTTGGTATTTTTAACTACAACATTAGGTAAGTTTGTAACATAATTTTGTAGGGCTAATCTCTATCCAAGATACAAAATTATGGAGCGGCCTGGCTATTAAGACGCTTAATTAAAAGATCAAACTGTGCTTTAGACTTACTTTCGATGTCCAGGATGTTGTCATTTAATCGGAATTTTTGATTTAAAATTATCCATTTTTAACGTGTGGAGCGTGTTTGAATTTCAATATTTAATATGAAGTAATTCATATGTGTAAGGACTTTGCAACTTGGGCTTACGTTAGATTAAAGTGAGAGATTCTGTTATTGGCTTGTGTGAAGTCGAATGCTTAGGCTATTATCTAGATTATAGAGTTACAGAATATGCAGTGGCATTCGATGCTGATATCGTCGATGGGTCCAATACTTATATTAATTCGGATAGTGCGAAACATATATGCAAAATGTTTGTACATAGTTTAAGTTGTAATGGGAAATTCTTCCCAGAATCGAATGTGCATCAGAGATAAGTGCTACGTCCCAAAAGGTTAGGTTAGCTTGTTGTTTGGTGGTAGGAAATTAGAGCTCAAGAATGTTTGTTCTTAACCCAACAGTGTCCTCGAAAGCATGAAAATGGCTTACTCATTCTTTATTTGCACTACGAAATTAATTGAAAACGTTTTGTTTTAAAGAAGGTCCCTCATCATTATCATAAGATCGTCAGTCCTAACACTGGTTGGAAACGCACCTCCACTCCGTCCTATCCTGAATTAATCTTCGCATTTCCATAAAACTAGAACATCCCACATCCTTAACTATTTGCGAACAGTAATCTAATCTCGGTCTACCTCTACTCCTCTTAACTCCTGTTTCTGCCTCTAATATATCTCTGACTAGACCTTCATGCCTGAGAAAGTGTCCTACCAACCTATCTTGCCTATTTTTTATTGGCTTCCATAGAGTCTTCTGCACTCCTACTCTTTCTAATACCTCTTCATTTCTATCCTTCTCTATCCACGGTATCCTCATCATTCGCCTGTAACAGCACATTTCGAACGCTTCCAATCTTTTCTTTTTCGCCGCGCCCACCGTTCATGTTNTGTAATCATTTCAGTCGCTTGCAGTCTCTTTTATATTATATTGCTAGATGTAAATTACTTGAATATTAAGGCGTTCTGCAATCGTTTCAACCTGTTAAGTGACCTTCTAATAAATAACTCTCGGAAATACTTTGTGGAAATGCATCTTATTCGTGTAATGTGCGCTTACTTAAACGATTTCATGATTGTGTTCGTAAAGTTCGAGCTTACGAATCTGATCAGAGTTTATTTTCTAAACGATTAGTTCTCTTAATGATGCCCTCTAGAACGATTTGCTTCATATTATTATATCGAGGAGAGAAGAAAGAGGCGAACTCAAGAGTTCCTTGACTGGTTTGTTACTACTTGCAAGCATGCGACCTGTACAATTACGTATTTATCATAACGGCTTTTCCGAATATAACATACTCTTTGCAACGAGGAAACACTCGCGGAAATCGTTAAGGCAAGAAATAAAGTAGACAACGTCTGGCAATGGATCTCGAACGGCCAGTGCTGCCAATTGATGGGAAATTTCCCTTTTCGAACGTCAACGTAAACCACAATCGTCCTGTGATTGATAAAAATAATATTGAATTTACAACTCATGAAATATTGTGATGGTCATACGTGTGGAGATTCTTTAAAATATTTTTTGTAAAAACTAGAATTTTCCGCTAGCAATCGCAAAAAAAATGCATGTATACCTGAGATTGGATTTTTTTATTATCATGTGGGAAGTATGAAACCAAAACAAAAAAAAGTTAAATAAATATTGGGATCCATCAAATGGGAGGAGCCTAATAAGCATGGTGTTGATAAGTGAAATTATTTGATAGTCTGAAAATGAACATTCAAATGTTAAAATTTAAAAATTAATCACATAAAATGAACAAATTTTCATTACGGAATATCTATCGCTTTTACTTAATTTTTCATCTCTGATTTCCCAAATATTTCTTTATATAGATACATACCTACATAAAACAATTAGTTTTCATCGAAAAATAAAAAGCCTGATTCAGGATACTTGTTGGAGATCTTGAAATTTTCGTCGACTTTTTATTCAATTTCTAACAACTTTATGGATTTGATTATCAAATATTTTTCAGTTTATTAGTTACTAGTAAAAAATTCAATTTATTTAAATGCACCAACGGAAGACTGTTTTAGACCACCCTTCTATGGGCGTACTATTAATTCACTAAAAGTATGAGTTTGGAAAAGCATTTGCAGTATATTTGAATATGGTAACATTAACAATCAGAGTATAATCCCGTATGTTATTCTTGTTATATGTTTTGCCGCGACCGACAATATTTATTTATTATTATCATTAGAGTTTAACGATACCTGTGGAATGTCTGAGCCGGCTTCTTTTGCGAGAAAGTAAAAACCAGGTAATGGGACGAGATATTAAATCAAGAGCCGAATCACTTAACCAGATGCGATGCAACAAATTGCCCGCTAATAATAACGAACGAGTCCTTCAAATATGAATTTGTTGCGGTTCACACTAAAGTAATTTTAACGGGTTTCAAATAAACTGCGTATTGAAGTTCGTTATATAACTTGAAATCTGAATGAAGAAATCTCCAGGTAATATTTTTTTTTATAACTTAAACTTATCTTAAAAACTTAAATGTGATTACTTAATCAAAATCAATATCAAGCAATTTATTAATTTTACGTTACGTCATATTAGTGGAGCACAACAAAATTGTTCTCCAAAATAAAAGGAGGATGACGTTTGCAGTGTAAATTTGTGGTGGTAATAGTAACTGAAGCTTATCGCTGCGGCTGATTTTTTCAAATAAAATTAAAGAATTTCGAATTAAAGAGACCATTTAGACTGTATTAGATTTCAGCCACGTTTATACCTGTCAAAGATCTTGGACGACTACATAAAATTGAATTTGCTATCCCTCGGGAACAGCTATCTGTTTCTGGATGAAAGATACCCTATGTCCTTGTCTGTACCCCTGACCATGTGTCTACAAAATTTCATGATGATCGGTTGACTAGTTCATGCGTGAAAATGTAACCAACGAACAAACTCACATTCGCATTTATAATATTAATTAGGATAGCTCGCACTCAAAACTTGAGGTAGAAAATAGGAGAAATTAATATGAAGCAATATCTATGTTAAGAGGGAATAACAAATATTCCAGTTGTATATCACAAAGAAATTCAATTTCCGGATAGATCAAATTATTTTTTAAAAGTTCACCACCCCTAATCGTTTGTTTAATCTCTTTACAGTATCGCATTTGCAATTCGATGAAATAAAAAAAATAATTATTGCATTTCTTAGAACGCTTTCCATAACTATCTTTTAGAAAGTGTACTCGTTTTGCTGTTTTTATCATATTTTAGACAAAACGTAAGCATCTTAAACCATCTTATTTTTTAACAAACTGCTTTTTTTATTGCTTGGTTAAATTCTCTGACCAGGACGCTTGTAAAAGTAAATACGATTTTAGCTGATACTCTTGATTCTATAAGGAAGTACTTCGCGTACCCGAAATGTTACAATCAAGTACGCGATGAACTTTACTTTAAGAATAACCTTTTTATCTTTATTGGCATTCACTAGCACTTGCGATTTTAATTAGGAATATATGTTCGTTCATGTAGGTATGTATATGTATTTAGAGCAAGCCCATGAGAGATCATGCAGTTTCGCTCCAGCGTTCACACGATTTCTAATAATAGGTAAGAAAATTGCGTAATTCAATTATCATCTTATTTTTTTCATTGAAAGTAATTGACACTAAAATTGACTTAAAATGTCAAGTTCTTTATTAATTTTTCCTAAAATAACTATTGATGTAAACCAAAATTCGGTGTGAAGATAATTTTATAAAAAAAGGAAAAATATAAAACCCATTAAAAAAAACAGCAACAAAAAGATTGAATGCAATGAGGAAAGCTTCTAACGAATTTAAATCTTTACAAAAAGTCCGATTTCGAGAGACATATGAGGTTAGCAGAAGTCTCCTTAATATTAAGAAAAGTTTATCAATTCCGGGTAGGTACTTTTACAGATTAGGTATAATGCATAAAAAATAAATTACATTGCAGTATTTTCTAGAATGTAGCAACAAACTTTGCCCTGACTTCTTCAGAGCCTTCTTGGGCCCAACACTGGATGAAACGATTATATTTGTTATCCAAAATGCAATTAAAATAACGAATGGAACCCATAAAATAAACTTGTGCTGCAAGAATGCAAAATCTATTCTACGACATAATAGTGGAGATTACTACGGTGCACGTCCAAAAAAAATCGAATTTTTGTTTAAAAATAGCAATAGCAACACACAGCCAATCGAGAGCACCCGTACATTAGCAGGTACTTTCAGAAATACTGCTGATATAAACAATAAAAAAATGTGTTTATTATATAAAAGAGACACCGATTAAATTTACTGATAGTTAAATATGTACGCCGTAAAAACAGTAAAAGGATTTTAAAGAATAATTTATTTATTCTAAGAATAAAAAATACTACTGCAAGTGTATCACTAAAAAATCTTAACAAGATTAATGGGTACGTAATCAGTATTGTTGTAAAATGCTGGTAACAGTAGATCATCTTTTAAATAATGTTTGAAAGTAGAATGAAAAATATCTATACTTACATAAAAAATGAGACGATTCTGTGTAAACCCAAAGATATTATTGATAAAACCTTGACAAAATAACCGATAGGTGTAGGTAGATAAATATAAAAACACTCAAATGAAGTCACGAAAAATGCATTCATAACTAATACAAGCGAACTGTCCATATTAGTCGGTACCCGGCTAACTAAAAGGAAACCTTGAAATTGGCGTTCTACTAATCCAATACCTAATTAAATATCAATCTTTTACAACAAACTTTGTCTTCTTCAGTATGCGTTCTACCTCTGGCATATTATTTACGCCTGCGTGTAATCTAAAGTTACGGTAGTAAAAGGCAACCCGAAAGAAGCGGATATAATGGTGAAATTACAATACGATAAATATTTTAAACTGCACTAGTTATTAGTCCGGGAAGTAGCTAGGAATAGGTACAGGTGGATCGTTAGACAAGGACCACATACTAAAGTAGCACCCAAACTTTTCGATAAATTTATTTACACTAACGTTTCGCCTTTTATTGCGAAATTTTATCAAAGAAGAGGTTTTAAAGTTGATGAAAATAATTTTTTTCTTCAAATGTGCGGGATGTGATAATGTAGTATTATGAAGATGTAAAACATTAACATTATACTCCAACATATAATATGCATGTAAAAACAGAACAAATTGCTTTAAAACCACATGGAGCAAGTACACTTTACATTTAAAAACTGTAGAAGCGTTAATGTCGATTTTTTAAATAAACTGTCTTTTGCCTGTCGTGGTTTTGAATTTGTTTATTTTAAAATAAGGCACGAAAAAATCGAAATTGCAACATCGAAAAGTTTGCTCTAAAACTTCATTGGCATAAGTATGTTTCAAGTAAGTACTGTGCACTTAGGGTTAAAGTTATTTTTTATCGTGAAAATTTCTCCAGTTTCGTTTATTTTTAATTATTTTTATAAACATAATACGATTTTATGAACCCTATGGAAGTCAATAAAAAATAGGCGAGATAGGTTGCTAGGACACCTCAGTTATGAAGGTCTAGTCAGAGACATATTAGAGGCAGAAACAGGAGCTAAGAGTGGTAGAGGTAGACCTAGATTAGATTACTGTTCGCAAATAGTTAAGGATGTTTGCTGTTCTAGTTTTAGGGAAAGATAGGAAAGAGTGGAGGTACGTGTCCAACCAGTCTTAGGACTGACGTCCTTATGGTGATGATTATAATGAAAAACAAATAGAAGTAAGAAATTTGTATGAATAGCTAACCAATAGTGGGTATGCTTTTGGGGGGAAAATACAATACATTTTAAAAATTAACCAATTTTTTTATATAATGAAAGAAAAAGGCCAAATTACATTTTAATTGACATCCAGATTCCTACGTATCTATCGGGCGTCTAATACAATTGAAAACATTTGTTGTCAGACAGCACTTTTCCTCCTCATCGTTATTTGTAAAGCCAACTCATTAACTAAATTATGAAGTAAATACATTATACATATAAATAAATTGACATACCAACTATGCCCAGTAATTGTTATTTTATTACCTCGTTTACACGTTGTTAAAAAAAGTACTGCATTTAAATTGATCTACGATTACATGTGACCAAATTTGTCCGTGGTAGTTTTGAGTGCATAGTATGTCCATGGGCAATTTAGTAACCATTATTTCGAAACACAATGGGGTAATTATCTAAATTACAGCGAATTTAAAAGGTTTGAAATGTACTGGAATGTTTTTCAATGGTTAACTAAATTATTTTTCGATACTATTTACGAACCGTCCTATAAAAGAACGAATATAGACGCGTTGTAGGGTAAAATTTAAATTGTCTCTTTAGGATTAGAAGAATGTCCATTGTTTAATTGAAATGTAATATTAAATCAAATGGCATTAAGACGTTTACTGATCAATAAACCGCCTCGGAGAATCGTTCTCCAAACTTTCATTTCCTTAGTAGGTTACCATGATTGTTCTTTCTTCTTGTGGAATGCAAATTAGTGAATAATTGATATATATGTGTATATATAGGAAGGTAACTGACCTAGGACTTTTGTGAAAATAAATATAATACTTTTTTTCACAAATTTCACTTAATCAATTCACAATGGGTAACTGCAATCTATCTATCAATCAAATATTAGTTATTTCGTATGATTAGTGTAAAGATCATAAATCTAAATGTAATGTGAACAAAAATTTTTCATAATTAATTGAATAATTTTCAGTGTCTACAATGTATAATGTACATCCAATAAAATTTTTACTTTTTGAAAATGACGTTGGAATAAATCAATTGATTAAAGTTCATACATGTGTTTAATTTTTTATATTACCTACTTCAAATGTACTGAAGTATTACGTTACAAAGTTTTTTTTTTTTTTGAGACATACTGTTAATATGGAAAGGAACATTAATTTGTAGCTATATCAATAAAATAGCTAAACGTTTTACAGTCAAATTAGTAACTAATAAGTCATACAAATTGTTTGTCGATCAGGCATTTCCGACTTATATTAATGGAAATTGACGTATTTGAAATCAACTTATTAGATTATATTATAATTTGAGAATTTTATGCGTCATTTGCGATATCGATTACAAAACATGTAATAGCTACTTTCCCAAAAGATATTAAAAAATTTAATACATAAGTGTAGCAGTTTTGAGGTGGACAGGAATATTAAAGAAAATTACCAAAAAACTAAATTACACAATTTGTTTTCATGCATTCAAACATACATGTTACACTGGATTCACTTTTCCAAAAGAAAAATTATTACAACTGAAAAGATAATTTTATTGGCAAGTTACTATTTTAAGATATATAGTAAATATAACAAAAATTTCTATCTTTATTGAAAATTTTTGTAAAATAGCAAGGACGATTTTAAAATCTTGTAGATGATAAAAGGATAAAAACACAATAACCGGTATGATGGTTATTTTTTTTATCTGATATGAATCTTCTGAAAAAGTTTTAAATTTTACACATTACAAATTGAAACGCCAAGGATTGTTAAAATGTAATTTATTATGAAAATAATTTAGTCTTATTTCAATAGATTAACATACCATATGAATTTTATCCATTATTTCCGTTATTTGTTCTTTGCTGCACATGGTGCTAAGTCAAGTAAGTACTTAATTAATAAACTTTGCCACAAAAAAAGTTCACAAAACAATCGATTACGATTTCGTCAGTCACCGCCGCGAAAATTCGGCACGGGATGCATCGGTCCGTTCACAACATATCCGGGAAACACCGGCGTCGCGGACTCGTCCGGAGCTTTCTTGTACGTTTTGCGCTCTATTCCAACAACAGAAGCAACAACAGCAGCTGATGATACCAGTAATGGAGCGTGTTGTTTGTTGTATAGCGATATAACCGGTGCACTGGTGCATCTGCGTAAAGCGGCACGAGCCGTAGACCGACACCGTCTGTCTATACAAAGTCTCGTTTCAGCAGCAAGTTGGTGGAAATCCACGGTGGAAACGGCAAGCGAATACTTCTACTACTACTACAACTACAAACTCACTCCTTTGGACAGGTGTATCGAGGTGCTCAGCCAAATAGAGTTTTACTCTGACGATG